CTTTAGTTTTACTGTAGTGTATTGTATATTTGATTTGACTATAGTGTATTGTACTATTATATAAATAGTTATTTATACTTTATTAAATTAATTATTTTTTCTATCTTTTACTAATTAATAAAAATTTAAAACTCTCCAAATATTTTAATTAGCACTATAGTATATCTTGTTTATCGAATATTTTTATTTTGTTAAACTCTTAAAATTGCATTTGGTACTATAATTGTATGTATTATTAAATAATTTTTAGGTTGATTAAATTTTTAAAATAATATTAAAATAAGAAAATATGTTTTTATGTTTTTTAAGTCTAGACTTCGTTTAGCCTTGTCTAGCTCAAAACCTCTACGTCTCGTCACGTATTACACTTTTTGGAATATTGTGTACACGTGAATTGACCTTTTTATTTTTTTATTATTCTAAATTTCTTTATTTTTTCATTAATTTATTTTAGTGACAAATAACATGCTATAAATATATTTAACAAACTCAACAATTTATAACAAATCAGATCGGATTGTTATCGAATTAGATTGACATATATCCATATTTGATTCATTTAGTTAACAGATTATCGGATTCGGATTTTAATCAGGTTATCGAACTGAAACCCTAAATTCATGTCCTATTAATTTCATCGGATTTGAATCGAATTGGGATCAAAATTCAATCTACTGACAACAATCCATTGACAACCCTAGTTGCAATGACTTGGTCTTGATTTTCCCCCCAAAATCTTTCCATTTTCCCTCCCTATGCCCCCTTTTCTCTCCAAAATGAAAGTAAAATGAAGGCTGAATGAAGAATGGGGCTAATGGCTAAAATTTGGCTATTTAAATGACATAAAACAAGCAATAAAAAGTCCAAAAAGCCTTCCAAAATTTGGCTGTACACGATGCACGTGTGAACCGGGTAGCCCAGAGGCACACTGTCTTGTGACTACAACTACCCCGAGTGTGCCTCGGGTACCCCATCAATGCCTGAATTCACACGAAGACCTTTGCCACCTTTGTTTTGAAGCTTATGTCCTCCAAAAATTGCACGTCAGGTTCCTCAACTCTAAACTTTTATATTTTGATCCTCGAATTTTGACTATATTTCAATCATACCCTTTATAATTTGCCAAGGTCCTTCAACTTTCGGCTCTTCTCCACTTCGGTCCACAACTTTATGTTTTTGTACACCTTTGGTCATTTTTCTCTTCATTTGCATATTTCTCTTTCAATTTAGGATTTTGACCACTAAAAGTATTAACTATGCAATTATGAGTAAAAATCCGCTCATGTAATCAATATTAAACATATTTAGGCATCCAATAAGAATATGAAAACACACTTACCATGCATCATATTCCTTCATATTAAATCATTGAATGGTGAAAAAATCTCCAACGAGCATGTGACTCTCATCAATCTCGAAACATGCTTCATATCCCTTCATATTAACTCGTTGCATGGCAAAAAAATCTTTCACAAGCTTGTTGCCTTCGTCAATTTTTCCAAGTGCGTCTATCCTGCAATATTAGCACATTGGTTGGTGAAAAAAATCCACAACAACGTTGCCTTCATTAATTTCGACAAGTAAATCATATTCCACAATATTAGCTCATTGCATGGCAAAAAATGATAAGAGCATCATCAATTTCGCGATATATTACTCATATTATTGTTGGCTCCTCTTTGTTCCCGGATGACAATTAAACTAAGACATACAAGTAGATCAGTTGAAGAGAAAGACAATAAAAAAAAAGTCCTGACAACGACTTTAAAACTTGTTGCGTGATAATTACAAGTGTTCGAAGTCAAATAAATAAGTATTAAAGTGGACTTAAAGAATCAAAATTATCATTCTCGTATATCTATCTATTTAATAATGAATCTAACTATTTCTAACCCCATGAATAAAATAAATATTGATGTCAAGGTATCGATTAAAACTAATAATAACTAAGAAAGTTAACACGATTAAAGAAAATGTTTTTTTTTTTTGAATTGTGGATAAACTATTCAATATGATAGTTAAAACATTATGACTCACGATTTAACCGTAGTTATCACCTATAATCTTGCAACTAAAGTTCAATTCCTGAGGTTGTACTTAATCGAATTCACTAATAAAACAAATTTGTCTTTCTCAGTTTCAAATCAATTATATCTAGTTGAGTCAACTCATTATATTTCTACGTAAATTCGAATAAGCCTAAACTAAACTTATTAAATCACTTTGAAATTAATTGTAGACCTCAATAACAGTAAAAGTGTATATTTTACCTTTTATTCAATTGTCGAATTATACCTCATTATTTAAATTTATAACTCACATCTCGATTTGTTAAAATTCAATAATCATGAATAAGTCATCAAGTAATTCAAGCATTATGAAAAATAAGTAAAATCATTACATGAAAAAATTAACCCCACAAATCTTGAGAGGTTTGAATCTAGTTACTTCATTCGTCCTGACTAATGATTTAGTTACACATTATAACAAAAGAAAACTACAAAAGGATTTAAAGGGAAAACAAGAAAATGATGAACATTTTGCACCAAGAATCCGTCTTCTTCATGTCAAAATTTTGAAATCTTATCTTTTTGTCCTTGTTTGAGCTACATTTTTTCTAAAATATATTTTTCTCCCTCTTCTTTCTGACCACATATTCAAAATTTTCTTCATTTTTTAACCACACATTCTCCATCAATTTATTAATCAAAAACTCATTTTACACAAAAAAATTGGGCTCAAACAGACTCAAATGTTCTCTTTTTTCCTCTCATATTTTGACCAAAAGTAGGTCTAAATATAGTAACTTGACCTTCCTCGAAAGTCAGGCTTCTGGAAGGATCAAAGTAACTCTGAAACTATAACATCCACACTTCAAAAAATAACGATAGGGTTGCGCTTTGCTTATTGTTGTCTAACCACAGCAAAATGGCCATTAAGAGTAGCCACGGCCTAACCCCCCCCCCCCCAACTCTCCTTTTTTTTGCACTTTGATCCCTACTTCAAGTTTTTATACGATTTTGGTCCTTTTTATCCAAATATTAACCCCGCAACGTCCAAATGCGTCCAAGTTTGTCCTCAAACCTCAATGATCATCCAAAATTGGTCCTCTTCAAGTTCTATATAACTGTGCAAATTAGTCCACAAACTTTTGCAAAGTTGAATTTAACTTTCTTAACTTGTGAATTTCCTTAAATTAAGCTCAAAATCGTCCAGGTACCTCCAAAGCGTTGATTTTACCTATGACAATAATATTTAAACTAAATTAAATAGAAATTCGCTCAATTTACTAATGTATAACAAGTTTTTAAGAACATATAAGCATGTAAAACACACTTATCAATAATCATATGTGCACTTGTGGTAGGACCACCCACTCAAATAATGAGTGTGTTTGGTATGGATTTTTAAGGGAAGAATTGATTTTTGAATAGTGATATGATGGGAAATGTGTGGTTGAAAAAGAAAAAAAAAATTGATGTGATGGAAAATATTATTTTATTGAAAAATGTGTGGTTAAAAATGAGAATTGATTTGAGAATTTCCCCCCCCCCCCAACTCTCCTTTTTTTTGCACTTTGATCCCTACTTCAAGTTTTTATACGATTTTGGTCCTTTTTATCCAAATATTAACCCCGCAACGTCCAAAAGCATCCAAGTTTGTCCTCAAACCTCAATGATCATCCAAAATTGGTCCTCTTCAAGTTCTATATAACTGTGTAAATTAGTCCACAAACTTTTGCAAAGTTGAATTTAACTTTCTTAACTTGTGAATTTCCTTAAATTAAGCTCAAAATCGTCCAGGCACCTCCAAAGTGTTGATTTTACCTATGACGATAATATTTAAACTAAATTAAATAGAAATTCGCTCAATTTACTAATGTATAACAAGTTTTTAAGAACACATAAGCATGTAAAACACACTTATCAATAATCATATGTGCACTTGTGGTAGGACCACCCCCTCAAATAATGACACCTTGTACCGTGAACCCCTCAAACCATGCACCTTGGATGCTAAGTGGGTGGATTTTTCTCTCATTCAAGTTGTTATTATTTAAGTGATTTAGAGTTTGAAATGTCGCGACGTACGTATAATAGAATTTTCAAATGACTCTTTATATTTAAAAATATCTTATGTATACTATAGAGCATCTTTGAATTTAGAGAGTAAATTTGTTTATGCACTCTAAGAATACTCTCTATTTTGACTATTTATTTTATTTTTCCAATGAACATTTATTGATTTCTCTTCGTCTCTTATTTAACATAATTTTTTTATATGTTAATGGCTAATAAATTCAAATGTAGTTTGTATAATTTAAATTGTAGAATATTAAAATTTATAACTTATTAAATGTAATCATTGTTAATTAAGAAAAGATGGTGAGTTTAGCTCTTCAAATTTAGAAAGTTAAAATAGACAGTTTATTGAAACTTATTTTTATGCACCGACTCTCTAAAATAAAGAGTATTTTGTATTTGGAGAATTTTTTTTTAGATGTTCTAAGATATTCTCACCGAAGTTTTTCTCGCTTGGGATTTATAGAATTGTTCTAATTTTTGGTTCCCCTTAGTCCCTATTTAACAACCATTATTTCAAAATTCTTTTATCTACGTACTCATTTTCATACATTTTTCAAAAATTTACTATTTAAAACTTCATTTACCCCCAAAAAAAATTATTGTCAAACAGGGGATTTTTAACGTTTCTATAGACCTACCTTGAAATTCAATCCAACAGCAAAAGCATCACTAGATTTGCTTAGAAATCACTTTATTACCTCTCCCTCTTCACCACCACCTCGCCCTTCTCCATATATATACGCATAAACGATGACTTGAATTCTAAATATAATTCTCGCTAAACCCTCTTTAATTAATCATCAGGAACTTTGATACATATTTCTATTTGTTGTCAAGAAATTGAGCCATCAAGCTCGGTACTGTCAGCTGTCACTGTTAATCAAAATCTCAGTGTCAGCAAATAACAGAATCCAAATGGGGCGCCATTCTTGCACTGAAAAAGAGAAGCTAAGAAAAGGGTTATGGTCACCTGATGAAGATGAAAAATTGAACAATTTTATCACAAGATTTGGAGTTGGCTGCTGGAGTTCTGTGCCCAAATTAGCAGGTTTTGTTTTTTTACATACTTTCTCATAGTAATTCCAACTCAACCTTTCCAACATTTTTTGCCGTACGATAACTGGGAACCAAGCCCTACCTAGTACAGGGGCTAAGATCAACACACATATGATACCCGTTATCAAATGGAAACGGGCTAGATGGTGATGAATTGCGATAGGTTTAAACTTCCTACTAGTACCTTATTAACCTTCCTAGATTTCTAGGACAAATAGTTGTGAAACTGCGAGGTCCAGTATAAGAAACCGAAAAGTAGTGATTTAATTCTAAGAGAAAAAGCCCAAAATTCAATTTTTTTTTTCTTCCTGTTATTTGTTATGGAAATTATGAACTGGGAATGAATAAAATTGGGGTTTTTTTTCTTCTTCTTCAGGTTTACAGAGGTGTGGAAAGAGTTGCAGATTAAGATGGATTAATTATTTGAGGCCTGATCTTAAGAGAGGAATGTTTTCACAAGAAGAGGAGGATTTGATCATTAGTCTCCATGAAGCACTTGGCAACAGGTTATATTCATATTTCTTTTTTCGCCACTCGATTCGGTTTATTTGATGCTGTCACTAATTTGGGCCGCCCAACAAAATGTATATTAAGATTCATGATGCAAGCGGTCTCTCTATTGACCTATGAAAAACATTGACTCGATTTATTTGATGCAGCGTCGCCAGTTTGGGTCGATTCATTTTGACTTTGCTCGTGCTCTCTATCGACTAAGAAAAACATAGGCGGGTTAAAATGATTATATTTGATATATTCATGTCTCTATTTCGCTACTCAATTCAGTTTATCCAATACGGTGTTACTAATTTGGGACGCCTAACAAAATGTGTATTTAGGTTCACATTGACAACCCTCCTCCTTTACTCCGGCTTTATATCAACTATGAAAAACAAACATGGAGTAAAATGATTATATCTAATTTTACAGGTGGGCTCAAATTGCAGCACGATTACCTGGAAGAACAGACAATGAAATAAAGAACTTTTGGAATTCATGTTTGAAGAAGAAGCTGATAAAGCAAGGCATTGATCCAAAGACTCATAAACTGGTACCCGAAACCGGAGATCAGATTCTACAGCCAAAAGGGCTTCCATATTTGGCAACCTCAGATGAAATTGGACAAGAATTTCGTGTAAACAACATAATTTGTGGAGAAAAAGAATATGATCCTCCGTTCTTGTCTGAATATCAAGATAGTTTTGATCCTAATGGACACCATTCAAATTTTGTGACTGATTATGATGATCAGAATAATCAGATTGAGGGAAATCCTGATTCGAATTCGAATTATGGCTTCAACTCTCTGCCGGATTCAGCAAATATCGATCCAGGGATTTTTGTGGATACAGATTTTTCTGATGGTTCAACTTCAAGAATATGTTCATATTTGCGTTCAAGTAACAGTTCAAATGTGAACGGCCATACCGGGATTCAGACAAACAATATGATGCCAAATTCTGAACAATATTTGTGGGATTTCGACACGAAATTCAAATCAAGGTTTCAATTTCAGATAAAAAATGAAGAGAATTCAAGTTCTTGGCAAGAAGGCCCCAGCAGCTATATATAAAAGAATTTTTCAGAAGATTTCTGTAACTAGCCATTGAGTGAGGTAATTAAAACCTAGATGTTTTCAACAAAAGTAAACAGTAAATTTGTTTTTATTACATTACAAAAAATACATACAAATACACAGAGATTTCAGGTAAAAATCTTTGGTTCTGGTTCATTTTAATTGTTTTCAATTAATACATGAAGTATTGGATTTTTTTTACTCGTTGTGTGGTTCTGATAGTTTAAAAAAATTAATGTTTTGTAGAGTTTTGAAAGTGTGAAATAGTTTATTCCATTGTGAATAGACAGCAATAATCTCATGTAACTTCATAAATACAGTACTTAAAAACTTTCCTTTTACTCTATAGCTTATCACACAAAATTGGGATCTTTCAAGGTGACATTCTGAATGATGGTAGGCTCACGCACGTATAGGGGTGGTAAATGGCCAAGCCGCTTGCAGGCTCGACTAATTCCGACTTGGCTCATGGATCGCTCGAGCTCATACTGAGACAAGTCATGAATTGAACTGAGCTTAATTTTTTTCATTAGTTGGCTCATTGGTCAGGCCCTCGAATCGGCTTGTCTTGAGCTTGTGAGCTAGGTCCACTAGCTGCCTCCTGGCTCGTGGGCCACTAGATTTGAACTTTTGGCTCATTGGTCAGATTTTTTACTTTTTTTATATATATATAAAGATCTTTTTTTTTTCATATATAAATCCCCAATTCTTTTTTTCAATTTATAATTGTTATAAGCTCCATATTAACTCTTTTCTTGTGAAATCAATAAGTTTTATTGTCTCTAAATTTACTTGTTTGAGCTATTTCATATAAATTCTATCATTCTACCTCTTTCTTTTATATATATATATATATATATATTAGTGCAAAATTTTATTTTCATATGATTTGATACTTGTTATAGATGAAGAACGTCAGATGCGGCAAANAATTACCTCTTTCAATGACATAGCTTACAATTATGCGGCTCTTCAAACTTTGTGGAAATATATTTCATGCATTGCATCTTGCATAGAGAGTTTAATATATTTCGGGAACCATGAATATCGATGATGCAGGACTTCGTATCAAGGATGAAGTGAACACATTAATCGTCAAAGATGTTCAAAATCTGACTTCATAATTTGTACGTCTTGTTTATGTTAATTTTATTTAATTTTTTTGACTTTTTAAAAAAAATCGTACACGTGTTATCTTATTAAAATATAATTTTAATTCTGCCTACATTAAAAATAGGTAGTCCCAAGTTCGAAAGAGGAGGATTTCAACTTTTTAAATTTTTTTCCAAAAAAGAGCCAGCTCATGGACGATGGGACACAAGCCGAGCTCGGGTGTCTAAGGGCGGCTACATGTATTATTCAACGTGTATATTAGGACGGTTAATATTGATACGGGTGGATGCAATTTTTATCGAAAGGTTAGGATCAAACATAAAAAATTGTTTGTTATGCTCTTTTAAGTGTTCAATAAAGCATCCGAGCGTGTACATCTAAATTTAAAAAGTGTAACTTCGGGAAGAGTAACATCTCGGACATATTTGATACATAACACTGAATATAATTAGAGATGATTAGTAAGTTGTGATACTTACTAATGTTTGATTAAATGAGAAAAACAATGATAAAATTTCTTTCTTTGCCTAATTCAAGTACTATTTTTAGACGTCACATGCGTCGCTTGAGTAAGCCATAATTTCAATAAATTTGAGGGAGAGTGGCACGTAAGGTCTAAACATAGGAGCTATATTAGGCACAAAGAGGTTTTTAGCATTGTTTTACTCGTGTCTAATCAAACAATAGTAAGTCTCATACCTCAATAATTTATTCGGTTGTATTCAGTACTACATATCAAACATGTTTCACATGTTACTCTTCTCAAAAACACATTATTCAATTTGGATATATGTGCTCACGTACTTATTGTTATGCATCTACTATATGTTTGAACTTTGAACCCACGCTTACTATAAAAATAGCATTCAGCCGTATTGCACATACTAATGTTCATAATACCATGCAGAAAACCCACCCTCTTCCCCCATGCCATTGACAGCAGACTCAGCCATAGTCCCAATGCAATTGAGGTCGGATGCACAATTTTTCAATGCTTTGCCAGATCTACTTGAAGACACAGAAGTAACAATAATACTTAACTTTTTGACATCTCAGACTCAAACATGCAACAATTAGAATATTTTCTCATTGAAATTGCAGAATATTCACAAGCATTATAAGCAATGAATTTTATGGCCCCAAAATCACTTATTTTTACAGTAAAACCTCTACTATTCACTCAGTTGCAAGGCGAGTATTAGAATTTGGATATGACTCGAATTCCTTGTTGAAGTAATTGAAGAATTCTAATTGAAGTGCACATCAAGAAGAATTCAGCATGAAATGCTATTGGAGTCCTACGTCAAATTGAAGTTTTATTTTGGAAGCCCATTGGGAGTTATAATTTGTTTTGAACTCGGCTTTTTGGTATCCTATTTTATCAACAATTCTATTTGAAGGGTTTGGACATCCCCTACATGTTCCCTATAAATAATAGGCTATTCTATACAATTTTATGGTGTGAGAAAATAGATTACTAGAATTATAAGATCTATTGTAATTTTTCTCTCTTCTCCATTATTCTTGAGTAAATAAAATCTCTTAATTCATCTGTCATATTCTTATCTTTATTATTCTTTTGCTTAATCGTATACTTAATTATTATTTGTCATATAACCTCAACATCTTAATCTAGTGGTTTGTTTCACAACAATTGGTATCAAAGCTACTCTGATATCTTGTTTGTTTTACAACAGTGAGCCATTGCAGTGCCTAAGCCTTTGTATGGGTATGAGCTCCACTATGGTATAGAGTAAGCTGGTGTATTTTTACAAGGAATACTTGAAGTTATTGGATTGTACTCATTATGTGTTTCTTAGAGTTGGAAAAAAAATGTTTGTACAGTTTTTGAAAGAGTGAAATAGTTTAATCTGTGGCCCAAATTATTGATAGCTGATAAGTGTGTTTTGCGCACTTAATTATGACACAAAATATATTGATTGTTGGTATAAAAGGCTCGAAAAGGACTTAATTCGTTATATATTGTCTTTGTAGGACTACTTTGATGGAATGAACGATATATACGTGAAAAATGGTGAAAAGGACTAAAATGCAAGTCAACGAA